ATATATATATATATATATATAAATATTTATATTTTTATATATTTATACTTTTAAATCAGCTCCTGCACAAAAAATACCTGGAATTTTACTTTTTAAAATACCTACCCTTATTTCTTAGTTATTATTTACTTATTCTATTATTTCTTTTAACTTTTTTTATATCTTTTATATATTTTATAATTTTTTTATTACTTCCTAAACTAATTATTTAGATAATGCATTTCTTTTTTAGTAATTATTTAACTCAATAATTGAAATTCCTATTTTTTTTATTTTATTTATTTATTAACAAAAACCTTTATGTTTTCCTTCTAAATGTTAAATTGTACATTATCTCTATTTTTTATTTAATTTTTATTATTATTTATATATTTTATACTTATTATGCTATACAAAATCCTCTTCTAATAAATTATAATAACATTTTATTTGATATATATATATATATATATATTTATTTTATTAAAATTAAAATGTTTTTTATTAAATAAATATAAACTATTTTTAATTAGAAAATTATGTAAAAATATATTTATAAATATCTATATTTTCAAAAGAAATAGTAAAATAATAATAATAATGTATATAAATATAAAATAAAAATCTTGTATATATATATATATAAATTTATAATTATTTTAAAAAAATTATCAATTTATTTATTATTATGTTTAGTCCTTTCTTTTTTCTATTCTAAACTTTAAACTAAAGTTTTGAAATCATTTTCAATAACATTTGACCAATTAACCACATCACCTAATTCCTAAAAAATAAAATCATAAATTATTAATATAAAAAAATACTTTTAATTAATTATTTAAACTATCATATAAAGAATGCCAAGATTAAATTTCTTTATAAAATTTTGTAATTTCTTATTTTAAATCTTTAGTTTCTTTTTCGATAATATTTTAATTTGTATGTAATATTTAAACATCCTTTATAATATTAAAAATAATTATAATCATTTTTAAAAAATATAAAATATACAGTATTAATTCCAAAAAGAATTTATTTTGTTAATGGTTCTGATATGTTTTTTATTTCTTTTTTCAATAAATCTATTAAATTAAAAAAAATTAATTTTAATTTTTTAAAAATAAAACCATTTTCTTTATCAACAGTTTTTTTAGATTTTTCATATTCTTTAATTAAATTATCAAACATTTATTTATGTTTTTATTAATAATATGTTTTAATAGAAAAGTAAAAAAAAAAATAATAAATAATTATATATATATATATATTTATATTCATATTTATTTATATATATAATTTTTTGTAAAAAATTTATATATTTTTTGACTTATATTTAAGAAATATTTCTAGTAAATTATAATCTATCTTTATTTGCTGTAAAAATTATTTAATTAAAAAGGTTATTTAATAAAAAGATATATTATTATCAAATTAAAAATAAATATTTATATTTATATTATATTTTTAAAATATATTTATATATTTTTTATTTACATATATTTTAATTTTTCTACCTTTTTTATTTTTCTTTTTATAATATTTAAATTTAATTATATTTAAAATACTGAATAATTTAAAAACTAAAAAAAAAATTATATATATATTTAATAAATTCAAGTTTCAATATATTCTACATTTAATTTTTCTTCCTTAATACTAGGCAATATATTTTTTAGTAATTTGTTTCCTGTTTTAAATTTCGATTTTTTTTTATTTTTAATCAGAGGTGAATTTCTTTCATCATTTAAATTTTATTAAAATATTTATTCTCCTTAATCTCCATATATTTCATTCATTTTTTAAAGTAATTATTATTTTAATTAAACATTATCCATATTAAGACCTTATTTTCTTGCTTTTTCAATTAATTCATGGGCTTACTTTTTAATATTTTCTTACTTTTTTATTATAAAAATTAAAACATAATTAAAAAAAATTACTTATTATTTAATTTTTTTAATTTCCTCTTCTTTTTTAAACTATAAATACGAATTTTTCGAATCTTCCAAAAAATATTTTACATATTCATTTTCTAAAACTTCCTCTTATTAAAATGCATTATTTAAATACATTTAGAGCTAAATCCTTCTTTTTTCAATTGAATCTGGATCTTCATTTGTAATCCCAAACAACTTTCTAGATGGAAAGTTAATTAAATATTTTTTCAATCCATTATTAATTAAATTTTCATGGAATCTCTTAAGGGCAGAATACCTAATTTTATGGGTCCAATTTTCCTCGTTATTGTTTTTCGTAAATTCAATAAAAAATAAATGGTGTCTTCTATATATGTGTATCTTTCAATTTTGACACTTATTTTATTCTATGTTTATTATAATAAATCCTATTATAGCAATATTTTTTTTCATTTTCAATTTAATTAATAAACCTACCCATAAAATATCCATTTTTAGCCTCCAAATCTTCAACACTTAATGCTATAGAATTTTCTCTTCGATTTTGTAATTATTTCCTTTGTAAAGGTAAAAGTTCTTTTATAATATCCAAAGAATGCAATTTGTTAATTTTTAATAGTTCTTTAAAATATAAATGGGGCTCCTATCTACGAGTTTCTATTTAATTAATGTTTTTGTTTGTTTTTTATATTAAATGCCTTCCAGGAAATATAGGCAAATATATTTCCAATCGAAATTCTTTTATTTTTTTTCCAATTTTTCGTGCATATCCCTTAAATCTGAATATCTTTTTCGGAAAGTAAGAACAGATTAAAATTATTTATTTATTATTATAATATAATATAGTATCTTATTATTTTTAATTTGTCTGTATATAGGAATTTAGACATCATATGTAATTTAATATTAATTCATTAATTTATAATTTTAAGAAATATGTATTAATATAAAAAAAATAATTAATTAAAATAAATAAAAATATATGAATAAATAAATATATATATATATATATATATATATATATATATATATATATATATATATATATAAATTTATTTATATATGTTTATGTATTTATTTTCTATTTAATTATTTATAATTAATTTTTAATTTATTTTAATTAATTTATTAAAATTATAATAAACTAAATATATAGAATAAATAAACAAAAATTAATATTTTTTATTTATAATTTATACAATTTCATTTTTTATATATTAATATCTATTTTTCATTTTTTTTATTTTATATTCTTTTTATTCTAAAATTTAATTTATATAAATAATTTATTACTTAAAAGATATTTTAAAGTATATTTGTAAAATAAAAGATCATTTATTAAATAAAACAAAATTTATTATTACTTTTAATAATATATAAAAGTTTATGTTTAGTAATAAAAAAAATAAAATTTTACTTTATATAAGTATATTAAAAATAAAAATAATTAACTAAAAATAAAATATTATATCTATATAAATATAAAAAAAATATATAAACTTTAATAATAAATATATATTTAAACATTCTTTTAAATAGAAATAATTTTTTATTTAAAATAAAAAATAAAAAATAAAATATATATATATTTATATATAAATATATATATATATATATATATATATATATATATATATATATATTTATATACTATTTAATTTTTAATTAAAAGTAGTATTAAATAATTATGAAAAACATAAACTATTATATTACTTTGATAAAAATCCTTAAAAAACTATATTTAAGTTATATTTGACATTTCTTAATATATATTATTAATATAATAAAAGACTAAAATATATTTATTTCAAACATTTTTTAATTATTAATGTTTTTTATGAATTTTTTAATAAAAAAGCATAATTTTTATATGAATTATCAATAAATAAGAAATATTTTTTTCTCAAACATAAAAAAAATATAATTTATAATTTTTTGTTTATACTTATTAATAATTTTATGAGTAAAAATTAGTAAATAAATAATAAAATAAAAAGAAATCTATTATAAATAAAAAAAAATAACAATACTATAATATAAAAAAAAATTAAGTAGTCTTATGTAATCAAAACCAATCAAGTAAATAAAAAGTAATAAAAAAAATAAAACATTTTAACAAAAAAATTATTGAAAATTTAAAATATTTTATAAAAATTCAACAACATATATAATAATCCATTTTATTATTATTATTATTTTTATCTTTATTTATTTATTTTTTAAAAAAAGAAATAAGTTGTTAATATTGCAATGGTAAATTTGAAGTTGATAATTGTTATTAATGTCACAAATGTAGTTAATAAGTAAAAATTCTTTAATATATTTAATTTTTATAAATTAAATAAAAGATGTGTTGGGATTGTTATGATGAATATTACGAAGAAGATCCATATTGTCCAGCGTGTTAAGCAGAACTCTAATCTGATTATGAAGAAGAGTTATAATAATAGAATACGATATATTTATATATAAATATTATTTATATATAGAACTCCACCAAAAAAAGTAGTTCCAAAAAGAGTAAGTCCTGGACCAAGTATTAATAATATAAATAATAATAATATTATAAATGGTAATAGTGGTAATAATTAGAAAAAATACAATAATAGTTATAATAATTATTCTTATGGAGAATTATAAAAAGTACGTGTTATTAAAAAAAACTTGGTATATGTAATTGGATTATCACCAGAAATATCTAATTAAGATGTAAAAATAAAAAAACAAAATAATAATTATTGTAATATAAATATATAAATATTTTAATTTTTAAAATAATTTGATAAAATTATATAAAAATAATAAAAAATAACAAAATTATATAAATGTAAATATATATATATATATATATTTTGTATTATTCATCTTACATATTTTTTAAGTATATAATATTAATATTTAATTATTAAATTAAATATACTTTATTTTTAAAATGTAAATATATTTTTATATATATAAAATAAATAAATAGACTTTAATGAAAAAAGAATATTTTGGTTAATACGGAAAAATAACTAAAATAGTTGTAAATACTTCCAAAGCATATAACCCCCAAGGCCCTAATGGTCCTTCGTATTCTGCTTATATAACATTTTAATCGGAAAAAGAGGCTTCAATGGCTATATTAGTACAATAAAACAAAATATAAATATAAATATAAATATAAATATAAATATATAAATATAAATATAAATATAAATATATAAATATAAATATAAATATATATGTAAAGGGTATAGAAGAATATTGTATAAACGATAGAATAATAAGAGCTTCATATGGAACAACAAAATATTGTGTTTAATTTTTAAAATAATAAGAATGCCCAAATTTATAAGATTGCTTATATTTACATTAATTCGAAAACGATAAAGACTGTTTTTGTAAAGACGACCAAATTTCAAATAAAAATATTTTTATTGATTAATAAAGACTAGCAATAAAAAATATACAAAAATATGTCCCTGATTTGATAAAATTAAGAGCCTAACCAACTACATATACCCCAGTATTGCCCTCTCCTTAAATGGTAATAGAAAAATTAATAGAATAGGATGTAATTGACCTTACAATAACAAATTAAGTCCCATAAACACTAACATAGTAATAATAACAATCTTAATAACCTCAATAAACTCAATAACCTCAACAATAAGTATAATAAATATAAGTTTAATAACTATAATAATAAGAATAATAGGTTGTAGTTGATAAATAATAGGGTTTTAGTTTTTTTTTTAAAAAAAAAAATATATATGTATTATTTAATATTTATATTTTTTTATTTTTATTAAGAAAAATAAGTAACTAAAGAAATTTCTATTGAGAAAAAAGAAGAGAAGAAAAAAATTTAAAATAATGTGCCATTAATAGACCAGTGGGATATGGATGTTTCTATAACATCTGATTTTCCTATAAAAAAAGAAGAAAAAATAACAAATAAATAAATAATACTTTAATAAAATAATACATAATAGAATATTATAGAAAAGAAAAAAGAATAAACAATTGAATAATAACAATAAATTATAAAAAAAAATGAATAAAAATTAGAAAAAAATATAAATAAAATCAGTAAAAATTAAAGCGAAGATTTTAAATTATAAGATGATTTAAATAAAATTATTTCCAATTAAAATTTCATATAATAAAATATAGAGAATAATATTTTAGTTAAATAATGATATAAAATAAAAAAATATATATGAAAAAGAAGATGTCTTACAATATAAATATATATAAGATATCAAATAAAAAAAGAATAAAAATATTACATAAAAAGTTGAAAAATAAAATAAAAGCATCGAAAATACAGATAATGAAATAATGAAAAAACTCATTACTAGACAATTATATAAAAAATCCTCAATATTTTCATTTGCTTAATAAGAAAATATAAATATATAAAATGGAATTGATATAATAAAAACAATAATATAATGCGATTTTATAAATTTAACAAAAAGTATAAATTATTAATATTATAAAATAAATTTATATAATAATAAATATTAAATTTATATAAAAATGAATTTATATAAATAAATAATAAAAAATATTAAAACATATATATAAAAAAATATATAAATAAATATATATAAATGAATATAAAAAAATATAATTATATATAACTGTAAATAAATATATTTTAATGTATATAATTTTATAATTATATCTATTAAAAAATATAAATATATATATAAATATAATATATATATGAATATTTAAATATTGGTAAATTATAAATATATTTATATTTATTTTATATAATCCTTTATTTTTATAGACATGTGATCTGTTCAATGAAAAAAATTAAAATTTAATAAAATTAAATATAAAAAATACTAAAATTTATATATTGTTGATATATTAATAAAAATATATAAACATTATTTAAATTTTTAATAAATAAAACATATATATATATATATAAAAACAACTATTTATTTAATTACTTTTTAAAATTATATATGAAATATATTAAACCTTTTTATAAAAAATAAAATAACGAAATATTAATATTAAATAAAAAATATATAGTTCAAAAATATAGTACAACAATAAAATATAAAAATATAAGCTAAGATTATGATATAGACTTCATAAAATTAAAATAATCTTTTATAATCTATAAAAGTATTAAACAAAGAAGATGTAAATAAATTAGTCAAATAAATCACATTATATAAGGAAGAAGACTCAAAATAATATTTATATGATATATACAATATAGATTATTTAATATATTTAATGGATAAAGAAAAAATAAACATAATAAAACAAAAATTTGATTAATTCGATAAAAAAGGAGTAGATATAGTGGAATTTCTTAGAATTCTTTTAAATTCATTTGAATTAAAAAATTAAGAAATACTATATTTTAGTCTTGCAGTAATTGATTTATTTAAAGAAATTTCAGAAAAAAGAGGCCTTCCATAATTTATAGTATTTAGTGACTTGACAGAATATATATGTGATGTAAAACTAAATATAAATATGTTAAATATATATAAATATATATATAAATAAATATTTAATTATATATATATATATTAAATTTATATTTAATATTTTTATATTTAATATTTATCTATATATTTTAATTATATATACAAAAATAAGTATTTTGTTGATAAAAATATTACTACATATTTATTACCAACTGTAAAAATGCCTGAATAGAAAAAATATAAACTACAAAATTAATAAATAAGACATATAGATATTAATCCTTCAAAAATATATGGAAAAAATGAAGAAGGAATTCGTAGTCTTTTGCCGAATACGCTTATAACAAATTCCTAAAAAAACAATAATTATAACATTATTATGTATATAAAAACATTCTTAAATAAACTATAAAAAAATATATTAAAATTTATTTTTAAAAATAATATTAGAGTTAATGATAAAATTTAAAATAATTAAGAAAAATATTTAATAAATATAATATAAAATAAATTAAAATATAATATAAATATATACATATATATATAAATATATATATATTTATATATATAAATTATATATTTAGGGGTTATTATTCTGAAGATTTGAAACGAATCATTATATTAAATTCTTTAACAAATTATATAAGTATATATACATTAAATTGTAAACTTGCTTAAAAAATATCTTTAACAAATTCAAAAGAAAAAGATTCTATTATAATGGCTTTTGCTTATTCTGAATAATAATAAAGAGTTATAAAAAAAAATATAAAAAATTAGAAATATACATAAAAAATATATATATATATATATAAAACATATATTGTTAGATTGGAGCCTGTTTAAAAGATGTTTCATTAGCATTTTGGGATAAATAAGGCGATTTTTAATCTTAAAAAAATTTTAGTATTAGTAATTTTACTACTGAATATTAAATAAATATATGGTACTTACCTTCATATAAATACTGGATAACTACCGATAAATAAAACTGTATAAATATATGGGACATAGATAACGAGAAGTTATATTAATAATTAAAGCCTTAAAACATCTAAGATACAATAATAAACATAATAGAAATTTCTCATCTTCGTTTAGTTGCTGTCGGTTCTTCTGATAAGAAAATAACAATATGGAATTTTAAAAAGTTCATCTAAATATTGTAAATACCTTTAAATCCTTAAGGAATCCATCATATAGTATACAATTATCATTTTCAATGTATTTTAACCTGCGGGTACGAAAACAGTATTTCCATATTTAAAATAAACCCTTAATTTTTCGATTTCGATGAGATCGGTAAATTAATAGGACATTCCTCAATGGTCACTTCATTTTAAATAATTCCTGAAAACCCTATGGTAGTATCCTCAGATGATAATGGAATAATTAAGATCTGGGACATTCGATCACTGAAATGCTTACAAACAATCGAAATAATGACTAAATCTAGCATAACAAACATCCTATATATAGAATCAAAGAACTCCTTATGTTTCCTAAACGCCCGTCTTAATATAATGAAATTCGACGAATGCAAGACAAAAAATACCGAAGAATTCTACCCCATAAAAATCGACTATAATTCCTACAAAAAGCACATTATAATTTCCACTAGAAAAGATCTAAGATTCCTTGACATAAAAACCGGCAAAATCCATAAAATATTCACTGGTCTTCTCAGTGATCCTGATACCGAAATTTCCTCATTTTCCCCATTTAATTAATTCCAGTAATTTATTCTTGGAGACCAAAAAGGACTTCTTTCTTTACACAATATATCCAATGGTGAAATCGTGCAGAATTTAAATTCACATATGTAAGATGTTTCCCATATAAAAATAGACCATTTGAATAAATTAATAATATCCTCTTCTTTCGATTCTTCTATTCTCCTCCAAAAGCAGACCACGACCTAAAATTTCGAACTCTAAAGATCAATAATAAACGCTAATTTTAAAAAATAAATCACTCTTTTAGAATTCTCTGTTTTCCATAATATCTTCTTGACCTCTTCCTAGGGAGATAATCGTATTTATGTATATGACTATGAATACTTTAAGCTTATATCTATAATTTAACTCCAAGAAAATACTGAACCTACATCCTTTTCATTTATAAATGGCTATTAAATATTATTAATTTCAACTAATTTTTCCAAAATTTATATTTTGAAATTTCAATTGAAATCCTTTAAAATTTCCTATTAAATTCTAGACGAAATCACAGTAGAAAAAAAAATTATAAATGAAGATTATTTCTAGTACAAAACTCCTAGACCTTCATTTTCTTAAAAATGTGATTAAAATACTTTTTTTTCTATATAAAAAACGCCAGAAAAATCAATTTTACACCATAATAATTTATAAATGCCTTAAGAATTTTGTACTAGAATTTTAACAGAAACTAAAATAAATCAACTCGAAAAAACAATAACAAAACTCACCCTTTTTCTCTCTACAAATCTTGGAAAAGTCCTCGTATATACCCCTTCTCCTTCTTTTTTCACTTAACCTCATCTCCCTTCCTCTGCCTAATCTTCCAAACCTAATTATAATGCATTCCGGAATACTTTTGAGGATTTCTTCCACTAAATCAAGTCATTTTGTTTCGTTGAAAATACTTTTTAAATTCCCAACAGTACCTAAGATCCATTATTCACCCTTTCAAACTCTTTCCATGCACATAAAGAGTCTCTTACATGTTTCTAATTCATAGAGTTAGACCATAAATATATTCTAACGTCCTCTATTGACCAATACATCCGTATTTTTACTAAAAAAGGTGAGCTAAAAGCAAGTTTGAACATTAACCATCCAGTTCCAATTTTTTGGGAGATTTAAGAAGAAAACACAAATAATTTAAGAACGAAGCTTTTTTACACTTTGAAAATTTTAAAAATATTACATTAAAAAAATATTTTACAAAACTAAACTTCATTTAGCTATTTTTAGAAAATCTATAAAAAAATACCTGCTGTATATAATAAAATACTCAGAAAATCGAAAAAATGAGAGATTTATATTCTCCAAGAGACCTTTAATTTGAAAAAACAAAGGCTTTTTTTTAAAATGAAATGAGAGGATTTTCCCTAAAATAAATGGAGGCAAAAAAAAGACTCGAAAATTTGACTTTAAATAATTAGGTTTAAAAAACATAAAATTATGTAGAAATTAATAAATAGAAAAAAAATATTGAAAATATTTTGTTTTTATCAAATAATTTTAGAGAAAAAGTATTATAAAATTAACCTTTTGGACATGATTTTTCAGCAAAAACATATGAATTATCCAAAAAATTATCAACTTTTGAAATAAATAATTTAAAAAAAAAAGTAATTAAGATCTTAGTGATTCTGCACAAAAAAAACAAAAAAAATATGAAAAAATATGGGAATAACAATAAAAAAATGATAAACAATAGGAAAAAAATGAAAATACATAAGAAAAGGATGAAAAAATATAATATAAATATGAAAAACATGGAAAAATATAAGAAAATCAAGGAAAAAATGAAAAACATTATAAATCTGAAGATATTTCTTAAAAAAGTACAATATAAGCAATATAAGAATTTATAAAAAAAGAAGATTAAAGAATAAAAGATTTTAAATTTTCTAAATTGAAAATGCAGGAATTTAAATTACTTAAAAGTCGAAATTCATTAGGTGTTTTAGACATAACTAAAGATTAAAATAAAAAAGACAATTTTTAAATTGTTATTAATTCATCAAGATTAAAATCTATAGAAAATGTTAAAAATTCAGTTAAAACATATTATCCTTCTCCAAATAAAACTGAAATTCAATTTATATAAAAAAAATAAAAATACAAATAAAAAGAAACTTATTTTACTACGAAAAATTGATTAAAAAAAAATTAAATAATATAAAAATTAAAAATAATAAAATAAAAAAAAAAAAATTAATTTTTAATAAAATTAAAAATATAATAAAAAAATAGTATAAAGTAAAAAAACGATATAATTTATACAATATATATATATATAAATATATATATATAAATATATATATATATATATTTATATATATGTATAAATACATTTAATTATTTTTTTTAAATAAAAAATATTTATAAAATAAAAATGCTTATTAAAAACGAAAAAATTCTAGATAATATAAAATATAGTCCATAATAAAGCAATAAATAAGAATACAATAATAATAATAATAATAATAATAATAATTATAATAATAATAATAATAATAATAATAATAATAATAATTTTCACACATTTTAACATATAAGTAACACAATATCACCTTATAATAAATCTCCCTAATCACGAAACAGTTTAATAATGATTTAAAATAACTATTAGTAAGAATTTTTACCAGAAAATAATAATGATTTTAATAATTCCTTAATCAACAATTCTAATGTTATAAATGTATTAGAAAATCAATAAAACTAATTTTCTTTATATTCTAATAATTAATTTTCTATGGGACAGTTAGTAAGAGATGAGCTGAGTCTAATTTATAATTAAGTACTTGATAAAACAATTATAGAAAATCCTTAAAATATAATAAATATATAAAATAATATTGATTTATCTAAAGATAATCTATAGGATTTTTAACAAAAATAAATTCAAAAATAATATGAAAATTAAGAAAATAAAGAACAAATTAAAAAACATCCAAAAATTCAAATGAATTCAACTACAATAATTTAACTGGTTATTAAAAAAACTTAAAATCAATGGATTTTTTAAAAAATACTGGAAAATAATTTCAATAAATTAATCTTAAAAGAGTTAATGATAAATTTGATGTTAGATAATTATTAAATATAATTGATGGTAATTATTGATAATATATAAAAATTATTAACAAATTCATATTTATATATATATATATATATATTCAATTATTAAATTCTAAATTTTTTATTTTATAATTTACAAAATTATATAAAAAATATAAAAATATACATATAATTAACATTACAACTGAATAAATTTGAAAATCTAATATAATCTAACACACACAACCCCATATAATTGCCATAAATCCTGCTTTTGCTGAAAATCTTCCTATTTTTTCAAACATAACGACACTATTTATATAATATAAATCATTAAAAATGCTCTTAAAAAATATTTCTTTATTAAAAATAATACAAAAATTCATTCCAAAAAAGCTAATTGAATAAAAGCAATTCATAAAAACAACAAAAATTAAATCGATTCCCAAAACCAGATAATTGTTTTCCCTATTATGGAAATTAAAGATCACTAAAATAACATATCCGAAATGTAAAACAGATAAAACCCATAAAAAGCAGACAACAAGTAATGTTTTTAAGAAGAAATTTTCATGTTTTTTTTATTTATCAATACTATAGAATTATTTGATTTTTTGTTAAAAACTTAAAATTTATTGTTTTTTTTTAATTTTCATTTAAAAAATTATTTCTAGGAGAATCTATTCTAGAAGTACATTTTTATTAATTATTTATATTTATTGTAAAGTGACTTTCATGCTTAATTTAATTACTTGGATTATTTTTTTAATCATCTTTCTATTATTATATTAAACTTAAATGTTATATTTAAAGTTTATTTTTTTATTTCTTATAATATAAACATATTATTATTGATGATATTATTAAAAAGGTTATTACTAAAATTTAAATTATGAATAGCTTTTAATAATCTAATTGTAAATTATTTATATTTATATAATAAGATTTTATGTTAGAATATATAAATAAGATTGAATATAAGATAATTAAAATTATTTTATTATATTTATTACTATTATTAGTTTTTTATTATTATTATTATTATATGCTTTATTAATTCATTTTTTAATTTATTTTATATTTTTAATAATCAATCAATAAATATATTTTTAAAAATTTTATTTTTTTATATTAATTTTAAAAATTATTTTTATATATTTTTTTTTATTTTATTTTAAATATTAAAAAATTAAATGTTTAAATTTTTTATTTTTTTTTAATCAAATAAAAATAAACACGAATATATTTTATTTTATTTTTTCTAAAAAACAAAATAAAAAATTTCTCATTTTTATTAAAATTATTAAATTTTCTATTAGTTTATACTTTAAATATATCCATTTAAGCTTTCATTTCTATTTTTTTTTTTAATTTTTGATTATTTTACTCCATTTATTATTATTTAGTGATTTATTATAATTAAGACGGTTAATTTAATGAATTAATAAGCAAATTTAAATTAATAAAATTATTTTAAGGCTCATAAAAGCTCTATATATTTTATTTTTCAATAAAAAATGAGGAACCTAATATTCCTAATCATTTGTTTAATTCTTTTATTTGTTTGCAAATTCATTTAAATTCCTCGAAGCCTAATTTAATAGATTACTTTAGATTTGATTTTTTATTTATTTAGTTTATAAATTTTATATATTATCATGATTATTTTTTCTTTCCAAATCGAATATAACTTCTATAAAACTGAAGGGTTAATATGATTCTTATATATATTAAAATTTATTATCTAAAGAAATTTTTTCCATTTAAAAAAATAAAATAATAAATATATTTATTTAAATATAAAATTTTATAATATTAGGTTTATATTTATAAAATTTATTATTATATTCATTTATTTTTTTTATTTATTTTATTAAAATTATTGTTTATTTTTTATAATTTAACTATTATATCTTTATTTAATTTCATTATTTTAATATTTTTTACCAAAAAATAATAATTAAAATCATATAAAATACTTACTTTTTCTTCTTAAATAACTTTATTTTATTTTTTTCAAAATATATTCTTCATCTTTTTTTAAACAAAGAAGCATGAAATAAAATTATCTTAAACTTTTTTTTAAACTAAAAAATATTCTCATTTAATTAATTTTTTACTTTTAATAAAACTTATAAAATTTAGCTTGAAATAATATATATTTATACATATAATAATATTATTTTATTTATTATTAAAAATTTCCTTTTATACATTTTATAAAGTTAATTAATTTAAAAAATTTATATTATTTAGCCAAAAAACGTTCATATTTTTCTAATACTGTTTGTTTTTTCACCAAAATTAAATTTTGTTGATTTTTTTCATTTATTATTTGGTATTAGTATATTATTTGATTATAGTAAAATCAATAAAGTCATTATATTAAAAAATTTCTTTCATCAAAAAATTATTATTTCAGTAAATAAATCTTGTTTTTGGAATAATTATTCTGATCAATTTTAGCAGCTAATTTTTAGAGATTTTTTAAAAAATTCTCTTATGTATATATAATAAATGATTACAAATTTCTTTAATATATATTTCCAAGTTATGTAATTATAATTTATTAATCTAAAATAAAAAAGTAATAAAATTTCTAGATATGTGAAAAATTTCAATCATTAATAAAAAAAATCTTTTAAATAAAATAATTGGCAATTATAAAAATATATATATAAAGATAAAAATGTTTAATAATATAAATAATAAAAATATAAATAATAAATATATATATATATATATATATATATATATCCATTTTTTATTATTTATCATATGTTTTATTTTTATCAATTTATTTTTTCTAGTAATTTATTGTATTTTTCTATTTATTATTTATATTTTATTTATTCATTTTCTTTTTTTATTATATTTTATATATATATATTTATATTAAATATATATATTTTACTTTCTATTTTATTAATAAAGTTAAAATAATTAACTAATATTTTTTTTCCCATTTTTTTTCTCTAAATCTATTTTAAATTTCCAAAAATTTTCTAAATCTACATTTTTATCTATAATTATTGTTTAATTGTTAAAAACATCTTCTAAAACTTCCAAACCTTTCTTTAATGTTTGATCTATTTACCTTAATTTTTCAACTTTCCCCAAGAAATTAGAAAAGCTTTCCAATTAATCAATTTAGTTGCTTTTAGCTTACAAAAAAAAAACAAAATCATCCAAGATAATATTATAATTGTTAATAATAATTTACTATTACAAATATCTTTCATAACGTTTAAATAATCATCCAAATAAACATCATATTTCCTCGAAAAATTTTAAATATTATAAAAATATAGAAGAAATTGCTAAATTTACATAATATCTTCTTTTTTTAGAGGAGTTAAATTTCTTTCTAAAATTTTAGCAATTTCTTTTAAATAATAAATATTAAATTTAGGTTATTTAACATTTAATCTTTCTAAGTTTTCAATATATTTTTATATACAAAAAATTTATTTATGATTCTAATTTCTTCTATTCAGTATATTATACACTAAGCAAAAAAAAAAATATATAAATATGTATATATATATATATATATATATATATATATATATATTTTATATTTACTTTTTAATTTAATTAAATATCCATAAGAATAAAAATTTCTCAAAACATTTTTTCTTTAACCAGGATTTAAAAAATATAAGCCAAAACTGGTAAAAATTATTATAAAAAAAATACTTCCAAATCCAAAAACAAAAATTTAAGATCTTTCTTTTTTCTTATTTATGTTTTATATTTCTACTAATTTTTCTTATAAATCAAATGTTTATGAAAATTCTGAATATTTTTCTTTTTTAAAGAAATTTTATCTTGTTTCTTCTAATTTTTCTATTATTTTTCTTTCTTGGTCTTCTTCTGGAATATCTATAGTCTTTTAAATTTTTTAAGAAAACTATTTTTTTACAATGTTTATTTTTAGCTATTAATATAATGGTTTTATTTTATTTATTTATGATATTAAAATCATATTTTTTTGTTTATAATTTTTTTTTAAAATATTAAGATTTTTTTGTTTATATTTATTTAATTAAAATTTATTTTTTATATTATAAAATAAAAAACATAAAATAACTCAATAAAAAATAAAAAAAAATTATTAATAATTTCTTATTTTTTTTTAAAAAATTAAAAATCTAGAGATAATATATATATATATATTTATATATATATATATATATATTTATATATATATATATATTGATAAATAAATGAGTAAAACACTCCAATTAGATGAAATATCTTTATAGCGTAAATAAAGTTATGACTGCCTCTTTGCCCTTCCATAGCTACGTCATCGTTGTTTAAGTTTAGACTTAACAAATCTCCTAGATGGTGTCCAAGCGATATTTATAAAGCAAGAATTTGAAGCATTTGAAGCTTTAACCGGTTTCGAGACCGAAAATGCTTATACAATATATTTAGCGGACCCTATAAGGCAGAAGCCTTTATAAAAAATAGTAATAGGTCGTGAGAAATCTAATATATCAATGAGATAAAATATATCTGAAAGCATGAGATCATTTCAGATGGATTTTAGTGATGTATAAACAAAAGGAAGCTAATACATATAGATAAGCCTTTCAAATTCACATTATTTAATTACAATAGACCAGAGATGTATATATACGACTATCAAAACCGTAATGCATTAATAGGAAAAATAAGAATTCCTTTCAGATTTGACGACCATTAATTTTCTATATATGATAGTGAAGAAAAACTAATATATAATGTAATCGGTGATTGTTGTTAGATTGGATTTTGGTGTAAATCATGTCCTTTTGAAAGATGTTAAAATTCCAGAATGTTTATAAAAGACTAGAATAATGTCATTGTAGGTAATTTAAATAAAAAAAGTGCAGGTTTTTTTAAAAGTCTTATTAGTGATTGTGATAATTATTTTGTTAAATTTCCTAATATATGTCCGCCTCAACATAAATATTTATTAATTGCATGTGCTATATTTATTGATTATTGGATTTTTGAAGGGAAACACGACTCAACTACAATTCATTGATAAATAATTATTTTATTTTTTGTAAATTATATAAATAATTTTTTTTTAATGAGGAGTTTTTAAAATAATGAGCAATCTATATATATAACTTTTTAACATAATTTATTATTTTCAAAAAATTTATTTAATTATATATATAAATAAAATTAAAATATATAAAAAAAAATCAAATTTTCTCATTATTTTTGAAAATTAAGTATATAATAAAAATTTAAAAATAATATATTTAATATAATTATATATATATATATATATTTATAATATACATTTATATATTTTTTCATATATATATCTTTTAATATACTTATTTTTTTATTTATATATTTTTTTTAAATATATATTTATATTAAATATTTTTTTAAAAATATTTATTTTATTTTTAAGTTAAATCTTATAATATAGATATATATATAAAAAACATTTCATATTTTTTATAAAAAATTTAAGAACTACTCCTAATTATTAATTTCCATATTTATAATATCAAAGCAGTTTATAAATTCATTCCAATTAATTTTCCCATCGCCTTAATCTCCTTCAATTTTCATCATAATTTTTTACTCAACACTCTAAACCATTTAATTATACTCTCCAAAATCTTTTTCTCCTTTCAACTAATACATTTCTGTATATTTTTTTAAATGAGCTCTAATTAATTCATGAATTTCTTTTTTTAAAGGTATCCGTTTCCATCTTTATCATATTAATTAAACATTCTTTTCAAATCAGTCCTCAAAACCATCTTTTATTTATTGTTTTAATTTCCACAAAGATATTCTAACCATTCTATTTTACTAACAAATTCACTTTTATCCTTATCTATTTATTACATTTCATCTAAAAGTCTATCTTCACTAATTTCTTCTCCTTCATAAGCATAAAAAAGGAATCTTATTTCAATATAAATAAACTAAAACAAAGAAATATCTATATATATAAATACTTTAATTCAGTAATTTAAAGTTTATTATCTCCATTAATATCTGTCGCTTCAAAAGCCGCCCAAGCTTTCATTACATCTTTGTAGCTTTCAAAGCAAACTATACCTTCTTAAATATTAGGAAACTAACTTTTACTAGTATTCAAGAGTACATTAATAAGGTATTAAATTGAGACTTCATCATATAAAAGTACTTCTTTTTTTAAAAAGCCTTCAAGGATATCTGCTTAGACTTTATTTTCCTTCGTAATATTTTCAAAAAGCTAAAAATAAAATACTAAATTAATCCTTAGTCTTCTTTCTGCGTTTTCTAGAGTCTATACATATGCATAACTTAGCATAAAATCCTATAATTCGAAGTTATATCTGATCCATATACTATACTCCGAAAAACTTATTGCTTTACTATTATCTTTGTCTATATTTCCAAATATTTATTTTGAAAAAGTCTCAATTTAATCCAAAGTAGGAATTTCTAATTTCGCGATTTTACACATCCCCCTTATACAAGCTTAATTACTTAAAACGAGTTCCTTTATTTCGATTTATCCGCTCTGATCGAAATCGAATAGTTAAAAAATAAAATTTAGTCTTTAATCAAAACTATCGTTTGACAAAATAGCTATAATAGATAAAATTTCATATAAATCAACTTTCCCGTTTACATTATTTTCGTTTTCTAATAAAATAAAAAATTAATCTAAATAATCTCCTAATAATATTGAAAAAGTATCCGAAAATTCTTCTATATTAAATGTAGAATTCGAAGGGTAATAATCTTTTATTAATTCTATAGATTCAATTAAATCGTTCATATTTTTAGTCTTTAAATATTGGATTATTTCTTAGTTTTATTAAGGCAGATTTACTTAGTTTATTCCTCGTTTTAAATTTAAATTCAAAATTAAAAAATTACCCATTTTTTTATATTAATAAAATAAAAATTATAAAAAAATTCAAAAAAATAAACAAATAAATAAATATAATAAATATATATATATTCATGTAATTTTATCAAAGTCTGTTTTTCACATTATATGCTATAGTATCTACAATTATTTATTTTAACAGTTGTCTTTTTTCCTAATTAATTTTTTCTTTCTTCAGGTTTTTTTTTTCAATAAAAAATTCAGGATAATCTAGTTTATTTTTAAAAAATCTATAAAAATTATTTGTTAAAATAAGTATTTACTAATATGAATAATCTTCTTTCCTTAATCATATAAAGACTTATCAGAAGGAATATTACATCCAAATTTTCCTTTAGTTATAATACTATTTTTTTCAATTACTTCTGGAAGCTATTTAAATTAAAATATTTATATATATATATATATATATAAATATATATATATATATATATATATATATATTTAATATATATACTTTGAATCCTTCCTGTTCAATTTTTTTTCTTTTTAATTATTCTTAAATATCTTTTGTAGTTTTTAAAGTAAAATCCTAAGTTGTTTTACTGAAATTAAGCTTAATTTCTTTTTCGAATGTTTTAGTTTAAAGAATATCTATTTTCGAGTAGATATTATCAATATTTAACATCTAGTATTTTCGATTTAATTAAATCTATTCATTTATTCTTATATATCAATAGGAGTAGAGCTAAATCCAAATGTTTTTTCATTAAAACTTTAAACTTTTTATGTATATCTTTTTTAATTAATTAGTAAATTTGCATTCATTAAATTATCATCTATAAAAAAATATAAGTATAAAATAAAAAATAAATAAATATTATATATATATTTATATATATATATATATTTATATTTATATATAAGTAATTACCTTGTATACTATAATAATTTTCCTTTTACGATTATTTTTCTTTTTATTATTATTTTTATAAAGTTTTATTTAATACATATAATGAAGGCGTTTTTAATGTTCTATTATTAATAATTTTTGTCCCATTTAATTCATTATTAACTACAACCTTTTCTTATTTATAGGACCTCTATTTTAAAACAGGTATTTCTTTCTTTTCTAAACATTTTTAATAATCGTTTCTTGTTCCTGTAATATAAGTAACTCCTAAATTAAATTTTTTTAGACCTTTATAGTCATATAATGTTTTATTTTTCTCATTATTAAACTTAATTTTTTTTTCGCATTTTTTAATAAAAGCTTTCTTTTTTAATCTAAATTTAACTATTTTTATTAATTAAAATACGGTTAAGTTCGAGGACATGGAAATTAAGTATATCCTTCAAATTTATCATTTTATGGAGTATAATAAGATTTACGAAAATCAAATTTTAATGAAGAAATATCATATGGCATTAAACAAGGATCCTATATTTATATTATTATATAATTTATAAATTTTTATATATACTCCATTGGCTTTAATTTTTCTTTCTGTATAATTAGCTTTTCCTGTTAATTATAAGCTGAACTTTTTTATGTATTCGCCGGTTTTATTTACTCGTTTTTTTTTGCCGGTTTCATTATTTAATAAATAATAATTATCTGTTTCCATATCATACCTATATTATATTATATTTCTTTAATTTTTTTTTATATAAAAAAAAATTGAAACCATAAACTTTCTGATTAAGGATTATTCATATTTTTAAAAATTTCTTTACTTATTTGCTTTTGTTGTATGGTTTTATTTATTTAAATAATAATATAAATATTATACAAAAATATATATTTTTTATATGACACTAATATTTAAATATTTAATATTTTAGAAAATAATAAAAATAAACAAATATATAAAGTTTTATTTATTTATTTAAAAAAATAAAAAAAATACTAATAAATTGAATAATAATTTAGAAAAAAATAATTATTTATAAATTAAAAGATTAATTGTAATTTTATTTTGTTTCAATTGATTTAACAAGTAAAAAAAATTGATATTTTATATATGAATTAATTTAAAATTTATTATTATTTAATATGTTATAAGATTTTAATTTTTTTTAAAACAAAAACACATAAAATTAAAAACGAAAATAAAAGGTAGTTTAATTTCTTTTCGAAAAATAATAAATAATAAAAATTATAACCTAATTTTAACATAATCTAAATTACTGATCTTTATTTATTTAAATAAAAAATTAATAAAAATATTAAAAGAAATTTATATAAAATTATTTATTTTTATTATTAGCTAGTTTATTAAAATTAAATTTACAACGAAAAAAATAACTTTATAAAATTATTTATAAATTTAATAAATGGTAATGTATAAATATTTTTATTTATTTTTTTGTAAACTATAAAGGGCAATTAAGCGAAAAAATAAAACATTAATAATTGAGAAATTACAAAAAATCAATAACTAATAAATATATTTAAAAAATTAAATATATTTTTTTACAAATATAAAGTAATTATATATATTTATAAAAAAATAAAAATATATTTATATTTCTTAAAATAAATATATATATATATATATATATATATATATTATATTTATGGATAAAATTTAATATAAAAATTATAAAATTTTTATTATATATAATTAATTTTATTTTATAAATTTTTTATTTTTTTTAATATAAAAGATAAATGACAATTAATTTATTACTTTTAGCTATTACGTATATAATTTTTTAATTTACTTAATGCTTTTTTTTAATCATATTACATATTTAATTATATAAAAATATAAATTTATTAAATTTTTATTATAATTTAAATAAATGAATTTTAAGCCATTATCTTTATATTACTTTTAAATAAATTTTACTTTTAAAATAAATTTGCTCCTATGTTTCAATTTTTTTTATGTTTTTGTTGTTAAAATTTTCTTTAAGAATAAAATAATATATTCTATCTGTAATAACTTCAAAATAAATAATAATAATAAACAATTACTTAACATTATATATGTTGAATAAAAGTAATAATTTAAAAAATAATGCAATTAAGAGAAATTAATAAAAAATCAAAAATTATTATAAAATCATTTAAAAATCATATAAAATCAGTAATTATTTATTAAAAGGGTTTGTAAATAATTAAAGAAAAAAAAATTAATATAATTTAGAAATATAAAACTATTTTAATAATTTTTAAAATAGGTTTAAATTATATAATGAATTAAGAATTATTTTATTTTATAAATAAAAAATGTCGATATATAAATTTATTTTGTGAATTTTCGAATTAAGTTACTACTTGATGAATAAAAGAATAAAAGAACTTGAAAAATAATTACAATGTTTATATATATGTAAATATTAATAATTTAATTTGATTAAAACTAAATGAAAAACATTTAAAAAATAATTGTCAAAAATTAATAAAAAATTTAATAATGTATTCCTTACAATTAATAAAAATAATAAATAAGATTTTATATATTCACTAGTATATATTTATTTTATTTTGCAATATAATAAATAATTTTAATTAAATTAATATATTAATTTAATGAAATTAAATAAGATTTTGTAAAATATCTAAAAAATTTTAATTTTATATTATTTTAATAGTTACAAAGTAAGTCTTATTATTGTTTAATATTTTTTAAAAAATATTTACGTGTTATAAATTATTTATTTAATATATTTTTTTTAAATAATCTTTTTTAATTTATAATTAATTAATCATAATATTTTTATATATTTTTTAAAAGCATATAATTATTATATTATGAAAGCATAATCATAAAATCATAATAATTTATATAATTTTTAGAAAACATGTCGTCCTATAATGTTTATTTATATTTAAAACTACATTTTACTCTAATAAATATATTTTAATTTTTTTTATATTAATTAATATTTATAAAAAGTTATTTTTTTTCTTTTAAAAAAGATATTATTTTTAGAAAATTTTATAAATAAACTCTATATAAGAAAATATATTATTCTTTTTAATAAAAAATAAATTTCAATCTTTTAGATTAACATTTATAAGTTTAATACACAAAAATTTAAATTATTATTTTTTATTATAACATATTTTATAATCATAAGTTTCTTAAAATTTTATTTAACTTAGCTTTAATAAAAAAAACATATTGAATTATTTTATAGAATTAAATAGAATTCTTAGAAATATAGAAAAACATATGATATTTAATTAGATAATATTTCTAGAGTTAATAAAAAATATTAGTATTAATTAAATAATTAAAAATATAAAATTTTTTTAAATGATGCGATAACAGGTTGTGAATTTTTTAATATTTTTTAAAAAATGGAAAAATCAAGGTTTTATATAAAAATATTTAATAATAAATTAATATATTAAATAATTTATTTAAAATAAAAATATAAAATATTTAAATATTTTTTCTATATTTATATTATTACTATTATTATATTTTTTTATAATTAGATATTATTTTACTTATTTATTATAAAATAATTTTTTTTTATATATATATATATATTAAATGCTTTGTACTATTATTATTTTTAAATTAATAAATTACAAAAAACTTATAAATATAGAAAAACAATTTTTATTTTTTATATAAAAAATGTAAATACAAACAAAAAATCATAATTAAAATTATTTTTATAAATAATATAATTAAAAATAAATTTATTAATAAAATTCTTTAAAAAATCAATTTAATTATAAACTTTCATTTAAAAAAAAATAAAAAAATATTAATTTTATGATAGCTTTAATTATAATATAAAAAAAAAATTATTTAATTTAAAGATATTAAAAAAAAAATGCTAAATTTTAGTTTTTATTTAATTTATATTAATTTTATATTAATTTGAAATTTTTTTTTATTACAAATAAAAAAGTAAAAAAATTATTATTAAAAGATACGCACGTAATAAAACTTAATAAATTTTAAATTTTATTTATAAAAAAATATTAACTTATAAAATATATATTTTATTCTCCTCTTACATTTTACGTATATAATTTAATTAAAAATAAAAATTATAATAAATCAATCGATATTTTGATTGATGTAAATTTGTATTAGTTAATATATATTTTTTTTTTAATATTTTATAAATTTATGTATATATACTATAAAGAATTAAATTTGTTTTTTTTTTGAAAAAAAAAAAAAAAATATTAAAAAAGTTAATAGATTTATATAAAAGTAAATTTTAAATTTAAGCAAAAATTAAAATAAAAAAATAATTTATATTACAAATAAAAAACAAAAAAACAAAAAAACAAAAAAACAAAAAAAAAACAATAAAAATTTAATTATCAATATAAAAAAAGATAAATTAAAACTAAAGTATAATACTAAAAAATGAAAAACCTTTAATAAGTATAGTATTTCTAAACATAATACTCTAATATACATTCTTTATAAGATTATTAATATTTAATAACATAACTAAATTTAATATATAACTTAAATTAAAACTATTCTTAATATATAAATTAAAACTAATATTTAAACATGCCAATTCTAACAAACAATATACTAAAAATACCTTTTTAAACGACTCAATAAGAAGTTTTTTAATAGGAAGACTTAAAAATAAAAAACATATAAAATTTTTAATAGTAGCCAATAATAAATTATAAACAAGAGGAACCTTCTCAAACTTAACAAATTTATTTCAATAAGAATCTCGATATTTTCAAATCTGTTTCTAAGAAAAATCCTTTCAAAAGTGAATCTTCTAAAAATAGTAATTATACAAAAAATTTGTTGAAGGGTTTTAAAAAATACGTCGAAAAAAATTATTCTTTAGATAAAACTTTTTTATATGAATTTTAAAATTTTTTCCATACTTAAAAATTAAATAACGAACTTATTCTAACTTTCTTTTCAAACTCATGTCTTTATAAAGTAATTTTTTAATAATTCCTTAATGAAGATCCTTAATGGTGGATAAAAGACGCTAAAATAAAAAATCCGGAAAAGCAAATGCTTTTCTTTAATGTTTGTTAATAAAAATAATACAATCTTATAAAAACAAAAAGAATTAAATTTAAAAGGCCTGTTTGATTAAAATAAAAAGAAAAAATAATGAATTTTATGTTCTCATAATAAAATATATATATATATTTATAAAAATTGTTTTTGCTAAAAATTTAATATATAAATAATTAATATTATTTAAAAAAATTTAAAATATTACTATAAATAATTAATTAATCAAATTTATTATTATATTTTTATAATGCTATATTTTTATTTTTTAAAATAAAAAAAGCAATATATTATCTATTCTATTTTATTAAATATACACAATAATATTATAAATGGGAGAAATAGATTTTAAATAAAAAATAATATATACTATATTTATTTTAAAAAAATATAATTTATAATATATATTTTATACAAAAAATATTATTTATAATAAAATAAACACATTTATTTTAATAAAATCTAATAAAAATATAAAGCCCTTATAAAATTAAATATATATTATTTATTTTTAAAAATTAAATATATTTTTTACATTTTATACATATAGGTTATATATAAATAAATATATATATTTATTTTAATTATAAAAAATAAAATATAAACATAAATAAAACTAAAAGAAAAAAAAAAATAAAACTTATATTTAATACTAATAAATATAACAATAAAAATAAAATTAAAAATATATATATATATATTTATATTTATATGTATATTTAAAAAAGAATAAAGATAAAAAAAAACAATATTAATAAAAAAAATGTTTAAAAACACATTTTAATCAGGTTTTTTATCAATTTTATATTCAATAGGGTATTAAAAAAATAAAAACATGCAAAACCAAAAAATCAAAAAATATATTTTTATTATAAAAACAAAGATCAAAGCCATTATAAATATGGGACAAAAGCAGTAAAAAAATAAAATTAAAAAAATAAATAAAAATATATAAGTACGAAATGGACATATAAAAAGAATTACAGACTAAGATATTCTCTCAAGTGTTTTAGAAATAATGGGAACAAATGTTTCGACTAACTTTATAACTGCTCCTGCTGATCCAAAGGAGACTTTAGGAATAAAATTACCATTTTTAGTTATGATTATAAAAAATGTAAAAAAATTATAAAAGATATTTTATAAAAAATCATAAAAATAAGTTAAAAAAATATTTCACTTTTGAAGTATAAGTTTTAGATGATAAAAATGTCCGAAGAAGATTTAGAGCATCAAATTATTAATCAACTACTAGAGTTAAACCTTTCATATGCACTATGTATAATAATATTAATATTTATATATATAGATATATTTAATATTTATATTTTATTTTTTGTAAGGCCTATGAGATTGGATGAAGGATGGAATTAAATATAATTTAATTTATCTGATTTTACTAGAAGGGCTTACGCAACTAATTATATTGAAACTTTAAGAGTATAAATTCATGCTAATTGTAGAATTAGAAGAATATATTTCTCAGATAGACTTTATTCAGAAGAAGAATTACCCCCAGAGTTTAAATTGTTCTTACCTATATAAGTAATTTATATATTTTATTAAATATTTTAATATGTTATATTTTTTTAGGGATAAAATAAAAATAACTCTTGAATATAAAAAAAGAATATATATATATATATATTTATATGTATTATTTTTTTAAACAAGATTTATTAATAAAAAAATAATATTTTTTATTATTTATTACAATATAAAAAAAAAAAATATTTTTTTTTTTTTTTGAATGAAATATATAAATTTTTCATTTAATTTTTTTCAAATATACAATTTTCCAATTCAAATCATTTAATTTAAAGCCTATATTTCCGAACTTTTTATGATATATAGTCATCCAAAACTACTAATTATTAAAATATTTTTAATAGATAAAAAACTAGTACTAATTAAATTAAGAAGTTCTTTTTTTTTCAAAAAAACACAAATACTTTCAAATAATAAAAATCCTTATAAACCTTTAATCTATTTTTATAAAAAAGACTTGATAACTCTTTCATCTAAAATTTGATTTAAATTATAAAAAAGTTTCTCGTTTTTGAAAAAAGACTAGAATTTATTATCTTCCAAAGAAAAATAATTACCCAAATCCTATTTAAAATATGAGTTTAAATTCAAATTTAAACTGATTTCTTTCTTTTCATTTGCAGTGAATATTTTTACAGTTTTAAAAATTTGAAATATATGTATAGTTTAAATCTCATTTATTTTAATTTTATAATGATCAGGATTAATTTCTATAATAAAAACACTTTTTTAATTTTCATTTATAAATTTCTTAAGTAAAAAAATGCAAATTAATTCTATTTAAGTTTTAACATATTTATAATTTTAAAAATTATCAATATTTAATTAATTATTCATTTTTATTTATAAAAAT